TTTTTGGGCATCAAAAAAAGGCAGTGTATAACTTTCCTTTTTTTCGAAAGAAAATTCAAAGGGCTGTAACCAGGGCTATTAGTGTTTATTTTTGTTATTAGCATCAAATTGTTATTTTTTAACACAAATACTCGTATGTATAGCAAAGACGAAAAGGTTGAAGTTTTAACATGGTAACGGTGGTAACAGTTTACAAACTGTAAAAACAGCTCCAGCCTTTGAATGATCTATAGAAAGTACTCCTACAACATTTATTTATTTATTTAGGACTTTATTTTCAAGTGGGCGGGGTTTCAGCCAAGACTGCTCTACCAACCTAACCCACTATACATTTACAGAAAGATTTGTTTTTTAAACAAATGAGACAACAGAATGAGAATTATACGTAATTATCACAAATACGATAAGAGGTCGAAGAGGAGCACTGTAGTTCTTCTCCACCGCGGAGTCCACAATCCCAGGATTGGGTGGACGCAGTCCTCCACCCTTTCCTATCCTGCGCTAATCATTTCATTTCTACATAACTCCTCTTGCCTACGTCCCTAACTATTTGGTTTATGTATCTAAGCCTTTGTCGTCCTACCCCTCTCTTGTCCTTTAACATACCTTCCACAGCTCGCTGTACTAATCCTCCGTATCTGAGCACGGGAAATGGAAAATGAGTCGTGGAACACAGGTTTGTAGAAATAAATTTCGCAAGTTTTACTTTCAGAAACAACACCTCGAAAAATAATTCATAGATCCCCCCCCTTCCTTCCGTGAGTCAAGAAAATTTGAAGGCCGTCTGACACCCTGAAAATCTTTGCATTCCTCTGGTAAGTCTCTGAATGCTCTGGAAAGCATTTTACAGATCTCTGGGAAGGTTTTAAAAAGTTTTCCAATCTCTTAAAATCCCCTTCAGGCTGTTTAGATTTTTTAAATGTTTTTTCTATGTCGGCTAAACACTTTTCAAGCTCCTTCTCAGTGGCAAATGAGACGAGAGAGCTCTGCTCATTGGTTATTTCCAGAAACGGCCCACAACTTTTGAAAATAAAACAGAAATTCTGAAGGGGGCCTTAAATGCTCAAAAATGATTTGAACAGCTCTGCAAAAGTAATATTTACTAGCTTGGAGTGAATAAAATGAGTTTAATTATACGTAATAATTTGTCGCTTTTAAGGTAGGACGGTGATTGTATCGCAGTTGATAAGGCCGCCGTTTATCGATTATGATGACGCGGGTTCGAACCCCTCAAGAGCGCACTTTTTTTCCAAATCCGTTACGGGGCGGGAGAGTTCCTATGTTAAGGGAAGTCAAATGGAATCAACTTTTCTATATAAAAGCTAGTTTTGATGCCAGAACGAATCATAAGGTAAGTTCCAACAGTTCCCGTTCGATTGAGCTAGTCGGGGAACCCCACATTTCGATCAATTTTAAAGTTCAAAATTTTTTCATCCCTATTTAAGCCGCGGAATTGCGATATACTAAATGGTTCAAAAATCAGTAGGAGTGGGGGGAGACTTTAGACGCGCACTGTATAAGTAGTAGGTAGTTAAAATTGAGCTGTAATATTTGTAATGTAATGTTTACCTATAATTGGGTACATAATGTCTAAAGGCTATATTAAGCAATTGTTACTTGCATTATTGTTGGATAGAAAGTTGCAGAACGACAATTATGTGTACAATCATTGACTAATACAATTAGTCAATGGTACAATTAATAGTCATTAGGTATACAGGGTGCGCCCATTATGTATGGAATATAGTATATATCTCGGTAAATATCCAATGTATACCAACATTTTTCTACAGTGCCACCATGCTCAGAAAAGCCCCGGAAAATATGCGAACTAATTTTGAAATAATTCAGGCTGGCCAATAGAAAGTCTGCAAAACGACGCGATACATTCCGCGCCATAATTATTAATTATTCCGTTTTGACAGTTGACGCTACACGTTATTTTAGTTTACACTTTGTTTCTTGTATTTGCTTTATTTTGCGTTTTCCGTCTCCAGTTTTACACAAACCCGTCTTTTTCGACGGATATTGCTTGGATCTACGATCTGATAAGGTATGTAATTCCCTTAAAGTGTTTTTACGTTTTGCATCAGAATGTACAGTCTAAATTTCTAGCGCCCTCGGGCACGCCCTCTCAGGGACTTTCTGAGCATGGTGCCACTGTACTTGAAAGTTGTTTCAAACATTAAAAAAAATTCAATTGTTTTTCGTTACTCATTTGTTTTCTGAAATAAAAACAACTGAATGCTGCCGATACAACTGAATACCGAACGATCCTCGAGATCTTCACACATACATCATTTTTACAATACACCTTAGGGGTTAATTCTGTACCCAACATGGCTTGTAAAACTAACTTTTGAATCGGCATTAGTTTGCATGCGCAAAACAAATTTTTTGATTCGGCACTAGTTTTACTTTTATTCGAGGTGCCTACATACAAAATTTCCATTAAATATCGTAACAAATAAAAAAATTGGAATTGCGCAAATATAAAAGTTGTAATGCGCATGCGCAATTTTTTTTTGCATCTGCATAGTTGCCTGAAGTTTAAGAAATATTTACTAACACAGAAAACCGGGCATTCATATATTCTTTGTAACAAGAGTTATAAGGGAAACCCTTTTTAGCGCATTTCCACAAAAATAAAAAAAAATGCGCTATTGTGGCCACTTTGTCCGTCCGTCCGTCCGCTCGTTCGTTGAGACGCTACTAGCTCTTTATCTTAAGAGCTATTGTTCTACTTTTTTCGCCGTTTGGTTCGTTATGGTGTCGAGGCTTGCACCAAGGAAGGAATTTTTTCTGCGTTTATTGCTAAAAAAGTTATTGTAAAAAAACGAAAAAACCGTTTTTTACATGTTCAATAATTTTACACTTTTGCCGTTTATTAACGATCCTAGAGATCGTTTATAATTTTGTATTGCTGTCTGTCGTCTGTCTGTTGGTCTGTCCGTCTGTTCCTTTGTCTGTCTGTCCCTCTATCTGTCCGTATGCACGATAACTTTGGTTAGAAATGTCAGATCGCTTGATTGCATGAAATTCAATATGGGCATAGCTTTAGCCATATAAATGCCAAAAGTTGAGTCGAATCGATTCAAAATTCACAGTGCCCTTTTCGCATCTCGACCATTTGTAAACCGAATTGCAAACTTTTTTATTTATAAAAGTATTTGAATGAAATTTGATACATACGCACTTGGAATAAAGGAAAATCTAACTTTAGTTTCAAAGTTTAGATTTACGCATGCGCAGTTCCAACTTTCTTATTTAGAAAAGCATTGAAATGAAATTCTTCTTATAAACTGAAATTGGATTGCACATTTGCAACGCTATCTTTCATATTTTTGTGGCCGGATTTTTACGATTTTAACAGAAGTTGCATCTTACAAATGGGAAATGAATGCAAATGGAAATGCGCTTTTTGTAAATCGTTTACGATTACTTTTTTAAGTTGTTTGTATTTATTTGTACTGTTTTTTTTTTAATTTTAACGAAGAAAATCCATTGAGCTAGCACGAATTCCAATTGTTTACATAAACCGTTCCTGACCATAGGTACTGATTTAGGACTTACTTACCATGGTCTTATACAACTGTAATTTTTCTTAAATCCAGGAAGCCTTTGACAGCTTTATTTTATTTTATTGGCGGACAATTTATTTATTAAACCTAGACCCTCATCAATAGCAGTATAGTTGCTTACTCAAATAATATGGTAACTGTATATGGGGGAAAACAAGATTTGGTTATAATATATACTTAACAGGATCTCGCGGATTTCTTTATATTAAAAGTTATTATTGCTAATTTATTATTGTTATTATTGGAACAATACATCCTTCGAATTATTGTTCTCATTGTATTTTCAAAAGTTTATGGCATTAAATACAATCGTTTCTAGGTATAGGTACAGTGACTTAACAGTGGATACAACCGGGTATCTCGTTTTTGATTGGTCGTTCGTTCCGGTCGCCATATTGGGGCTAAAATGCTATAGGTACTTTACTTAGTATATGAGTTTATACTTTTCTTTGTGTTCTTGCGAAATTCTGTGAATAAAGGCGCTGCTTAAGGTAAAATGTATATTGTGGACATATGACTGTAGGTGACGGTGACTGTAGGTATAGGTACTTACATATTTACCGCGTAGTTAAGACCATAAAAGTAAGATTTTACATATGTCTCGTATCACGGAAACACTACGTTCAATTAATAGCGAGATCTTTATTTATTTATTACATTATTTATTAATATTAATTAGTTTTTGTGTAGGATCGTTTAGTTACAATTAAACATGTTTATTATGAATTAATAAATTTCCTTCAAGCAAACCTTGGCATTAGCAAAGGAGTGATTGCTATTTAGTTCTGGTGTATACTTAATTAATTAACTGGTACCGATTCCTGATACTGATTCCGACAACAATATTACAAGTTTGCTACGCGGAAATAGTACTAGGTACTAAACTGATCATTTTCCAAGTAAAAATGTTCTCTGTGGAGATTTGCATACATTTACTATTAATTTGCGTTTGCCGGATTAATTGTTTAGTAATTGATTGAATTTTCTAAACGCCTCCTTCAAAATAAACTTCCGAGATTTTGAACTCCTGTGGAAGGAACCCCACGCGCCTGACACAATTAGTCACAGACCTCTTTGCAGCATTAAAATTTTAAGATTTTGCACGACGCAATTTCGTTTATGGACGAGCGTGGGGGTTAACCGCGAAGTGCGGGGTAAACCCAAAACAAAAACTTTGCATATAATGTGCAGGTAATTACTACTTTGAATAATAAAATCGATTTTTTCATTCATCTTTTCCTACTTGCGAGTAAGGTTAATTTGAATATCCTCGCAAACAAACAACATGTAAACGGGGTACGTAAACCCTACGAGGGTAGACCGCATGCTCCAATGGAACCACGCGTTAAACCCCCGATTTCCCAACGGAAAAAGTGGATGACGCAATTTCGGAGGAAAAAGCGTTCACCTCACTTGAATTGTTTTTATAAAACGTAATATTTGCGTGATTGCAAAATAATCGCATTCGCACGCTCATATTATAACGATCGATTTCGCCTACGTAACTTTTTTACACGCGCGTTTTTGCATAAAACCACCGATCTACGTTTGAATAATAAATTTGGGGGCAGTAGTGCGCGAGTTTACCCCCAGTGTGTGGTGAATGGGAATTTCATTCAATCAATTCGCACGTGACCAAGGGAAAATGGAGTGAGTAGGGGAGCGTCGTTGGTTTGGTCCAGAGCGTATTGATCCGCGGGCTAGAGACAAAACTTGTCGAGTTTGCCTGAAGAGCGCGTGGGGTAGTAGTCATTTTTGTGCGGAACGTTTCGAAAATGGGGGATAAAGATAAAATTGAGGACGAAATCGTCCTTAAGCCAAAGATGAGCTTAATGAATGGGATTACGGTGATCGTTGGTAGTATTATCGGTTCGGGCATTTTTGTTTCCCCCGCTGGGGTGCTCAAGTACACGGGTAGTGTGAACGTCTCGTTGATTGTCTGGACCGTCTCTGGAGTCTTTTCCATGGTAAGTTAAGTGATCCAATTCTAGTTCCGAAACGTGGGACGCCCTTTTGAATTGAAGGTGGGCGCTTATTGCTACGCAGAATTGGGGACGATGATCAAGAAGAGCGGCGCCGATTACGCTTACATAATGGAGACGTTCGGCCCGTTCCTGGCATTCATTCGATTATGGATAGAGTGCATGATCGTAAGGCCATGCTCTCAGGCAATCGTGGCACTCACCTTCAGCGTTTATGTCATGAAGCCACTTTTTCCCGAATGTCAGCCACCGGAAGACGCGGCGCGCTTGCTGGCAGTTTGCTGCATTTGTAAGTATTTTCACGAACTTGACGAGAGAGAGACTAATTGTTAAATAGAGTAATTGTGGTTGGTCTCTTATTACATTATTGTTACTTAATAGTATAATTTGATGCCTCCGATTTTGCCATTGTTGTGTCTTAAGTACACGAAACGCTATTAATGTTAATAAAAGTTCGACAGCACAGCAGGATAGGATTAATTGTTGTAGGTTTTCAACGGAGAAGAAATTTAATACTTCGCTAATTGCATTAGACTCATGAGACTTCCAAGCGTGAAGTTACATTCGTTTTTTTTATCAACGGCCTTCGAAAGTGACCGGGACCAATTCTCATCCTCTTTTTGGAAAATAGCCCTAAACCCAGACAAATTCGTACCCGAAGTTGACAAATTGCGCAAGTGTGTGAGTGACTGAATTTTGCACACGGAGGATAAAGACGCCGTGGAGGCCCAAGGGCCCACCTAAAACCCCCTACCTGTCGTTTTTCGAAAAGTGCCCCACAGTTCGAGAAATTCCATTTTGTTTGGTCAATGGCGCGGTATACGACTAATGCAAGTTGCAATTCAAAATTGATTTATTAAAATTGAGTGAGTTTTGCACGCGGAGGATAAGGGCGCCGTGAAGGCCCAAGGGCCCACCTAAAACCCCCTACCTGTCGTTTTTCGAAAAGTGCCCCACAGTTCGAGAAATTCCATTTTGTTTGGTCAATGGCGCGGTATACGAATAATGCAAGTTGCAATTCAAAATTGATTTATTAAAATTGAGTGAGTTTTGCACGCGGAGGATAAGGACGCCGTGGAGGCCCAAGGGCCCACCTAAAACCCCCTACCTGTAGTTTTTCGAAAAGTGCCCCACAGTTCGAGAAATTCCCTTTTGTTTGGTCAATGGCGCGGTATACGAATAATGGAAGTTGCAATTCAAAATTGATTTACTAAAATTGAGTGAGTTTTGCACGCGGAGGATAAGTACACCGTGGAGGCCCAAGGGCCCACCTAAAACCCTCTACCTATCGTTTCATACGATCAGCGGTTCTTATTATCTTAGAAATGTAGATTTGTGGCCCTGAAAAGGGCCGTTTTTTATCAGCAGAACGCCGGCCGGCTAATCCTTTATGGCATTTCTTATCTCGCGTTCCATGGCGCGCAACCCTAATACGTTGGGATGGATTCCGTCCGTGTCAAACATATGGATGCCTGGCCGATGGAAGATTCGGTTTAGGTCAGCAAGTACTAGACCTTGTTTTTCAGCTAGAGCTGTAACAGCTTTGTTGATGGCGGCAACGTTGTGGTCACTTCTGGTTGTGCGTCTATTGGGTGGAATTGTGCACAAGACGATTCTTACGGACGGTTTCATCCGCTTGAAGTCCCGGATCAGCCACTTCAGCGTTCTTCTAAATTTCGGTTCGTGGAACTCCTTCCTCGCTGCGTCATTGGTCCCTATCATAATGACAGCGGTGTTCACGTCGCTGGGGATACTCCACACGCTTCCTTTTGCAGCTGAAGAACTCAAACGGCGCCTTAATTGATCAATTGTCTGCCCACCTACACACAATTCCGCACACCACTTTCCTTCTTCATTTTTGAAAGAGTTGATCTCACTCACTTTGCAGAGCATCCTTCGCAATATGCTGTCCCCCAGGTGAAACGTCATGATCAACTATCTCTCATCAACTGTTTCCAACGACTGGTTGTAGGTCCAAAATAAATTAATTTGAGATATGATATAATGACAGGGTCATTAGGTAACTGTCAATTATTATTTCAAGTACCGTACCTACTTAATTACTGATATGGAAATTACACATTCCAATTGTTTATGCAGTTTTGCATTTGAGCTTAATTGGTGTATATTCATTAAAGGTATCATTAGCGGAAACAATACTAATGTTCTCATTACTTTCCTATTTATCTGCATAATATCTACATATTCGAAAATAAAGGTAGATTTATTTATAATAGGTAGGTACTTGAAATAATAATTGACACCATTACCTAATGACCCTGACCCTGTCATTATATCTCAAATTAATTTATTTTGGACCTACAACCAGTCGTTGGAAACAGTTGATGAGAGATAGTTGATCATGACGTTTCACCTGGGGGACAGCATATTGCGAAGGATGCTCTGCAAAGTGAGTGAGATCAACTCTTTCAAAAATGAAGAAGGAAAGTGGTGTGCGGAATTGTGTGTAGGTGGGCAGACAATTGATCAATTAAGGCGCCGTTTGAGTTCTTCAGCTGCAAAAGGAAGCGTGTGGAGTATCCCCAGCGACGTGAACACCGCTGTCATTATGATAGGGACCAATGACGCAGCGAGGAAGGAGTTCCACGAACCGAAATTTAGAAGAACGCTGAAGTGGCTGATCCGGGACTTCAAGCGGATGAAACCGTCCGTAAGAATCGTCTTGTGCACAATTCCACCCAATAGACGCACAACCAGAAGTGACCACAACGTTGCCGCCATCAACAAAGCTGTTACAGCTCTAGCTGAAAAACAAGGTCTAGTACTTGCTGACCTAAACCGAATCTTCCATCGGCCAGGCATCCATATGTTTGACACGGACGGAATCCATCCCAACGTATTAGGGTTGCGCGCCATGGAACGCGAGATAAGAAATGCCATAAAGGATTAGCCGGCCGGCGTTCTGCTGATAAAAAACGGCCCTTTTCAGGGCCACAAATCTACATTTCTAAGATAATAAGAACCGCTGATCGTATGAAACGATAGGTAGAGGGTTTTAGGTGGGCCCTTGGGCCTCCACGGTGTACTTATCCTCCGCGTGCAAAACTCACTCAATTTTAGTAAATCAATTTTGAATTGCAACTTCCATTATTCGTATACCGCGCCATTGACCAAACAAAAGGGAATTTCTCGAACTGTGGGGCACTTTTCGAAAAACTACAGGTAGGGGGTTTTAGGTGGGCCCTTGGGCCTCCACGGTGTACTTATCCTCCGCGTGCAAAACTCACTCAATTTTAATAAATCAATTTTGAATTGCAACTTGCATTATTCGTATACCGCGCCATTGACCAAACAAAAGGGAATTTCTCGAACTGTGGGGCACTTTTCGAAAAACTACAGGTAGGGGGTTTTAGGTGGGCCCTTGGGCCTCCACGGTGTACTTATCCTCCGCGTGCAAAACTCACTCAATTTTAATAAATCAATTTTGAATTGCAACTTGCATTATTCGTATACCGCGCCATTGACCAAACAAAAGGGAATTTCTCGAACTGTGGGGCACTTTTCGAAAAACTACAGGTAGGGGGTTTTAGGTGGGCCCTTGGGCCTCCACGGTGTACTTATCCTCCGCGTGCAAAACTCACTCAATTTTAATAAATCAATTTTGAATTGCAACTTGCATTATTCGTATACCGCGCCATTGACCAAACAAAAGGGAATTTCTCGAACTGTGGGGCACTTTTCGAAAAACTACAGGTAGAGGGTTTTAGGTGGGCCCTTGGGCCTCCACGGTGTACTTATCCTCCGCGTGCAAAACTCACTCAATTTTAATAAATCAATTTTGAATTGCAACTTGCATTATTCGTATACCGCGCCATTGACCAAACAAAAGGGAATTTCTCGAACTGTGGGGCACTTTTCGAAAAACTACAGGTAGGGGTTTTTAGGTGGGCCCTTGGGCCTCCACGGTGTACTTATCCTCCGCGTGCAAAACTCACTCAATTTTAATAAATCAATTTTGAATTGCAACTTGCATTATTCGTATACCGCGCCATTGACCAAACAAAAGGGAATTTTTCGAACTGTGGGGTGCTATTCGAAAAACGACAGATAGAGGGTTTTAGGTGGGCCCTTCGGCCTCCACGGCGCCCTTGCTTTCCGCGTGCAAAACTCACTCAATTTCAATAAATCAATTTTGAATTGCAACTTGCATTATTTGTATACCGCGCCATTGATCAAACAAAAGGGAATTTTTCGAACTGTGGGGTACTTTTCGAAAAACGACAGTTAAAGGTTTTTAGGGGAGCCCTTGGGCCTCCACGGCGCCCTTACCCTCCGCGTGTAAAACTCACTCAATTTTAATAAATCAATTTTGAATTAATGAATTGCAACTTGCATTATTCGTATACCGCGCCATTGACCAAACAAAAGGGAATTTTCGAACTGTGGGGCACTGTTCGATAAACGACAGTAGAGGGTTTTAGGTGAGCCCTTGGCCCTCCACGGCGCTTTTATCCTCCGCGTGCAAAACTCACTCAATTTTAATAAATCAATTTTGAATTGCAACTTGCATTATTCGTATACCGCGCCATTGACCAAACAAAAGGGAATTTCTCGAACTGTGGGGCACTTTTCGAAAAACTACAGGTAGAGGGTTTTAGGTGGGCCCTTGGGCCTCCACGGTGTACTTATCCTCCGCGTGCAAAACTCACTCAATTTTAATAAATCAATTTTGAATTGCAACTTGCATTATTCGTATACCGCGCCATTGACCAAACAAAAGGGAATTTCTCGAACTGTGGGGCACTTTTCGAAAAACTACAGGTACGGGGGGTTAAGTGGGCCCTTGGGCCTCCACGGCGTCCTTATCCTCCGCGTGCAAAACTCACTCACTCACACACTTGCGGAATTTGTCAACTTCGGGGACGAATTTGTCGGGGGTTTAGGGCTATTTTCCGAAAAGGGGATGAGAATTGGTCCCGGTGCCATCACTTTCGATGGCCATTGATAAAAAAAAAAAAAAACAAAAAAAAACGAATGTAACTTCAGCCCGGTCCTAGTTATTTTTTGTTTTCTCGTTTAGGTTGGTACTACCCCAAAAGCGAATGTCCTTAAAAAAAAAAGCGAATGTAACTTCAGGCTGGTCAACTTGGATTATGACACTTCACTACCAAATCAGCGGATGGAGATTCACCTTTGAGATTAAAATATACTATTTTAGTTTTCGTGATGTTAATATTCAATTTATTTGCAGTAAACCAATTACTAATTTTGTTGCTATCTTTTTGAATAATAGTTGTTAGAGCAGACCAATCGGCAGCACCGTACGACAGCGCTGTGTCGTCCGCAAAGGCTGTTAACCTTCCACAAAACCTTCCATTGCACAAATC